GAGATGAGGTCTCGCCAAGTTGCCCAGGCGGGTCTCGAACCCGTGGGCTCAGGCCATCCATTCACCTCAGCCTCCCAAGGCGCGGGATGACAGGCTGAGCCACCGAGCCCGGTTTCCCCTGAAATTTCACCTTCCTCCTAGATGCAGGGGATGTCCGTCACCACTCAGAGCATGTCCGTTTCACGGTTTCTGTCCGGTTGTCCTGGGGGCTGCTGTCCCGGACTCTGATGCTGTTGTCTGTTGTGTCTCCTGACACGAGCGGGGTCGTTTCCGGGGGCGTGGTCATTTTGAGGGGTGGCTTGTCCTCAGCAGGGCTTCACCCGCAGAACCCCGTGGCTGGGACAGGGCCTGAGCGTGGCTTCCATGTGCGTCCCTGTGGATTCAACCTCGTGAGTCCTGCATTGTTCATGTCAGTGCTGGCTTGGGGGTACCCGAGTCCGGTGGGTGCCCAAAGCATGTCACAGAGGCCCAACCTCCACAGCGGGAAGGCGACTGGCCTTTGGTTTGTCTTTAAGCCCAGGCTGAAACACATAAGCTTCCTTCTCGTATTGTGTTTGCAGGCAGTTTTATTCCAGTTCCCACTTTGGCTGGGGCGAGGGGTGGTGGGAGGGCCACTTGGGGCTCTGTCTCCTGGCAGCGGGCTCTGCTTCCTTGGGGTCCAAAGTCTCACCTCTGGCTCCAGCCTGAGCAGCGGCTCGAGACTCTGTGCACACGTGCGTGTGACGGGCTGGCTCTGTGGCATCTGCACTTCTGGTCCCCGGGACCTCCTGACCTTGGTGTGGCACGGGTCTGCGGTTCAGCAGTGCTCATCACGGCCTACCCAGCCTCCCTGGCTTTCTGTTGTGGAAGTGCTGCAGACACTCTGGTCTCTTGTAGTTTTGGAACGGGAAGTCTCCCAGGTTCTTCGTGCCAACAGTTGTAAACAGAGACGGAGATGCCAGCAGAAGCAAGATCCTGGACCCTGAACACTTGGGAAGGGTCCCGGGCTCCAGGCCAGGCGCTGTGGTTCCCCTCTGTGTGGCCTCCAGGCTGCTCACCCCACCTGCACCCTGGCTGGAGGGCTTATGAGTTACGTGGAAACCGGCAGACATTTCCCAATGTAAAAGCTGGCCTCGCCAGGCTCGGTGGCTCAGCCTGGAATCTCGCGCCTTTGGGAGGCCGAGGTGAGTGGATCGCCTGAGCCCGCGGGTTTGAGACCCGCCGGGGCAAGC